GTTCCGGAAGCACACACACACTGTCTCTCATGCAGCCTTCTTTCTTGCGCCACCCCCCCTATGATTCGGTGCCGGTGGCTTTCTCTTCTTCGCGCCTGCTCCCCGGCCTTCCCTCTCAGCCTATCTGGCATCCATCCGTCGCTGCCTGTCCTCAGCTCGAGCCCTCTCGTCCAATATACCCTGATATTTCTCCACCCAGCGAGGCTTCGTCAACCTATCCACCAGCCTCATATCCCTCACCTGGATGGTCACCCTCTCGAGTGGATCGCCACTTAGTTTGTGTTCTCGAAGTTGGCGACCAGGTAAGCCTCCGCAGCCTCCATCAAAGCACGCACAACCGTCATCTGGAACCTCAGGCCCTTATTAGGAGTAATGTCCTTCTCCACCACCTCGCGGACGACGCGCAAGAAGGGCCTGAAAGGGATACAAAGGTCGGTGGATCGTTGCAGCTTCCTGATCTCTGTCAAAGCTGCCATCCCGAGGTGTCTGCAGCGTCTGTGGACCCGTGCAGGCGCATCTGCATTGTTACCGGTCTGTGGCACAGGCTGGGGGTTCTTCTTTTGCTTGTCACCAGCCGTCTTCCCCCTCCGCGACCTCGACACAACCGCCTTCACCTTCCTCGGGCTGTGGGACATCGCTGTCTTGCTGGGCCCGACCACGTCACCCTGCGCTGCAGAGCACCCTGCAACTCGCTCACCGCCACATGGGCCCTCCACCTCAGCAGACAAACCGTCCTAATGTCCCGGGCGCGTCTCCTCCATCTGTCCCGGCCTCCGATGTCCACCTCGGGTGTCCTCGGCCACCATATACCGAATGTCTCGCAGGAGGCCATCCGAGTACGTCAGCAGAAACGGCACACCAAGCGGGTCCCTGAAACTCATCATCATCTCTCCACCTTGCTCGTATGTCATGCGACATACGGCCGGGACCCAACCAACAAGGGCGGAGCAACCATGCCTGCGGCGGATGTGAGCCATGTACCTGTTCTCGCCATCGCCCTGCCCTTGCCCACCTGGACTCCCCTCAACCATGGACCACATCCCCTGGTCTGGCATGGAGTCGTAACCCATGCACGCCATCTGACGGTCCTCCTCCCTTATCTTCTCCCAGCATCGCTTTGCATGTTCCACAACCAGCACGTGGTCCTTCACATCTGCATTGAAAATGGAGACACGTGCCACTACCACCAGGAACTGCCACTGCTCCACCATGCCTGCATGCATCCACCCCAAGGGTAGCCAATGGCCTGTCTGCAGTTTCGCTGCCATGGTCACCTTGCCATCAACTGTTGCCGGCTGCAGACATCCTGGGACCCAATTCACACGATATCCATAC